ACTTGTGCCAAAAATAGGTAAAATCGGGTCAACATCTAAGTCCCCATATATCTAACATAAATATTTTCGAGTTTCCGGGTCACTTTGTACCGGTTCTCTCGGTCAATAAGCAAGAAATATTAATAAAATTCAGAAAGAATGGACGAAAGCTTGGCGATACTTTCAAGTTCAATTTGAAGTTTTGCCAACACCTAAAGGTGTTTTCCAGTCTTTGATCCGAGAGAGTATAATATTATTGGGTTCCGACAAACGAGCAGCATTTTGAGAAGAAAACGACGTTTAAACGATTTCAGATTGATATTTCTAAAACTGGTGGACTAGCTCGCGTGTAAACAGACAGACGGACATATATAGATAAAATGACTCAGCTCGTCATGCTGATCTTTTGTATGCATAGTTAATAGGGTCTCAAATGATTCCTTCTAGATGTTACAAACTTCATGACAAACTGAATATATCCTATTCAGGATAAAAAATATAAAAATGGAAAGAATGATATATATGTATGAAAATGTTATACACATGTTACTTATATCTAATATTTACTCTAAAGTTTTGCGATTTTCTGAATTAGAACTTGGTATACTCGTTTGAGATTTCTTTGCGGATTGACTGATATTTTTGGTAGAAGGTCAACTATAGGCACAGGGGTCCACATATTCAGTACCTAGGGGCTTGAACAGTTTTGGTTCGATTTAGACAATTTTTGGTCACAAGGTGGCGTACTCTAAACATATTATTTACGCAAAGTTTTACCTCGATATAATCATTGTTGCTTGATTTGCATACAGGTAATGGATTTCGCCCATTTTCGCACTATAACATACAAATATGAAAGGAAAATGATGTATCGAATATGGTTGAAATCGGTTAAGCAGATCCCAAGATATGGGTTTTCACCTAAAAGTGGGCAGTGCCACGCCCACTGTCTAATTTTGAACGCGGTTCCTATAAAGTCATCTCATTCCACCCCAGAGATAAAATTCAATGTCTCTGGCGTGTTTAGTACTTGGTTTATCGCGCTTTTAGTAGTTTTTAACAGTACCGTTATAAGGGGAGTGGGCGGGCTTGTCACCCGATTTCACCCATTTTCACACAGTCAATAGAGGTGCTAAAAACATTTGCTCTCAGTGAATTTAGTTATAGCTTTAGCGGTTTAGGAGATATGCACATTAAACTCATTAAGGGCGGGACCACACCCCCTTTAAAAAAAAATACAACTGCAGATGCCCCTCCCTAATGTGATCCTGTGTACCAAATAACAGTCTTGTATCTTATTGCGGAGCTTAGTTATGGCAATTTATTTGTTTTTGATTAATGGCATTTTGTGGGCGTGGCAGTGGTCCGATTACGCCCATCTGTAATACCAACCGTCTTACGGTAGCAAGAAACATGTCTACCAAGTTTCATAAAGATATCTCAATTTTTACTCAAGTTACAGCTTGCACGGACGGACGGACAGACAGTCACCCGGATTTCAACTCGTCTCTTCATCCTGATCATTTATATATACATAACCCTATATCTAACTCGATTAGTTTTAGGTGATACAAACAACGGTTAGACTACTTACTATTATACTCTGTAGCAACAAGTTGCGAGAGTAAGGAGTGAGAAGAATTTTACTCTATCAATGAGCTATCGATATGCTCCCGTGTATTGAATACTTTTACTGGGTAAGAATTGTTGTTGTTTACACATATTATTATTTTGGCCAAAGAGAGCTCGAAAGTTGGGAGGTGAGATCTTCAAAGTTGACTATTAGTTTCTTAGTGGAAAACATTTTTTTTTTGAAATACATTTAAATAGTAGTCAAATTCGTGTTTTTGTAAAAGCAAAAACAATGAAAACGACAAATACATAGTGCAGAAAGACTCGCGGAAGCTATCAAGCTGAGGGCACCTAATGGGTAAGTAATATGAAAATCGAAATCATTGAATGATTTTTAAGTTTAAAATACATATACATAAATGACTTTAGACATAAGTACTTGTGCATGTATTGGAATTTTTGTAACTTCGAACAATGCAAAACTTTCTCTCATACAAAATCTACAGGCGTTAAAGTGCAAAAAACCCGTGAAGCACCAACAAAAAATTGCTTACAAATATTTTGTGAATACGCAATTGTTGAGTGAAGGCGTGTACGCCGATAAACAAGAGGAGAGAAATCATATCAGCAATTGCCTACTGATCAACAGCTCGCAATAGTGATTTGTTTGCATGCTGTAAAATCAAGCGCAACAATACTTGTATAAACAAAAAACCGTTAAATGGTCAATTTGAAGAGAGTGCACAATTCAAGGAAACAAAAACGTTATTGGGGGTTTCAAAGAAGTAAATATGGTTTGTGATGGGAGAGGGCAATCGTTCATTTTTGTAGAGAGGCTAAAATGTTTTTGGTCAGCATGATATAAATTAGGGTGATCATAAAATTGTATTTCAAATGGGTTTGCTACAACAAAGTGCATGAATAGCGATAGATTTTTATCCCAGTAGTTTCGAGTGAGCTACCGCGAACCGCGCTGGTTCAATCTACCTACTGTGATCATTTTTTGTATTGTTCTTAAAAAATGCTGTGCTTATTGCAAAAGATATTTTGGTAGCCAAATGCAGTCATCCTGAAGCTATTGAAATAATTGAGGCCATCTAAGTATTATTAAAACTCAGAACTAAGTAAACGGTCTAGTTTATGTACCCTGAACAGGATGAATTAAGTGTGCCATGAAGTTTGTAACAGCCATAAGGAAACGTCGGAGACCCTATGGAATATAATATATACATAAATGATCAGCATGATGAGTCGATTAAGCCATGTCCGTATGCCTGTCTGTATATACGGACTAGCCCTCAGTTTTTGATATATCTATATGAAATTTTTATTTTTAAGTAGTTATTGGTAGAGTTTTCACCATATTACACCTAATGTCAAACAAATTTCTCTAATTTGTTTCGTTTCTACATCTGATTTGTTATTGAATTTATATGCGTTAGACAATTTCTCTTTAAAATTTTCTGAAATTGAACTTTTTCTTCGTACAATTTTTCACTCTTACCATATCTGAAAAAATTTCCTGCTTTTTGAGAAAACTTGTTTGTAACCATATTGAATATAAAAGTGTTACTTATTCTTTTTCCTTTTCTTGAAAATTTGTCTTGAGCTACTAATAATATTTTCTTGCGAATGACATCTCCTACTCACAAGCTAAACAGCATACTAGTAATGCATTACTAATTCTACCTCATGTGTGCACTTTTCATCATTTCCTTCTTTTGTAATAGCTTTATCTAATATACGTATTGAATTGGTGATAAAATATATAAAAACATAAAAAAGTAATCAATTAACGATAAACATTGATTTCACCCATAAAAAAAGCAAACCTTAATTATAAATTCAACACCAATTAATTAGAAAATGGTATACACATACATACATTTAAATAAATAAAATCGTCGTTAATAATATAATCAACGTGAAATTAGTGCCGTCTTATGTAATCTGATACTGGTTGCAGCGTCCGGCGTTAACGAGCGTTAAGATATGTAAATGTGTATTCATGAAAAATCGGCTGTTGTAAACACGGTGGAATGTTGTTCCGTATTAAACATTTCAAAAAAATATTAAATAATTCCACTCAGAAATGCTCACGTTTATGTAATACTGAAGAGAAGAAAGTGTGACAGCGAAAGCCGAGATCGATGAGGTCGAACAGCCGAATGTTGTGGCAGTGGAGAGTAAGCAGCTGAAGTTGTGAAGTAAACAAATGAGATGATGAAAAAACCACACAAAATATTTAATTCACGCTAATTTCACCAATGAAAATTTCATTCAAAATTTATAAATGACAAAACGGAAATTGCCAATAGCTGAAGAAGGGAGTGGCAGCTGAGCTACATAAATAACAAAACATATACTCGTATAACCACACTAATGGCCTAATAAACTAGAGGCAAACCAGTCGCAAGTTTTTACGCCAATTACCACTTAAATTTATATATTAAAAATTAAAAAGTGGTGAAAAGTGGTGACTTTGACAAGTGCCAAATATTAAAATTAATAAATCAAACGATTTAAGTTGACTGATTGAAGGCTTGTCAGTAGCGCATGGCAGGTGTGAAATTCAGTGCGCCCAACAAACCGGCACTGTCACAACGTATGTATGTATATACATGTGTGTTGATTTGTATTACTAAAGCTAACAGCTGCCATAACATTTCATAACGCCCACATTTTTAGCTACCAAAATCAAACATAAAATAAAAACAACTTTATAGAAAATTTGGCAAATGCCTTCCCCAATGCGTCATACAATTTCTATTTCGTAGGAAATTGTGAGTTTAAAAAATTTTTTTATTCACCACCACTTCGTATTCTGTTGTAGCAGTATTGTCTGTTATGCTAGCAATCAATTTGACAAATAGTCGTTAGCTGTCAGCGACATGTGAGTAACAAACGCGGTTGCCAGCAGCGGGAATGCGCGCTTCGGTGTTAGTACACTAGAGTGGAACATTTTTTCTTGATTGTTGTTCGGATGCTTTTCTTATCCTTATGATTTCTCAGTCAACGAAAATATGTGTAATTTTCTTTATATATTAGAAATATACCATAACTTAAAATTTCATAGTAATATTTTTATATTTCTCTACTTTATTTTAGTTTTGCTTCTTGACTAGACCAAAGATAATTTATCAGGTTTCTGTCCTTTCTAATATATAGCCCTTGATCCTATTGGCTTAAAGAGATGCTTCAGAAAACTAAGTTGATCTCTCAGATATAGTCTGAGCCTTGGTGATAGAAGTTTCAAATGTTTCTTTTCCATGAGATAATAAAATATAAATATATAAAAGCTTAGCATTTTAAAATATGTCTCAATTGAAGATTGCTCGACTTTAAGAGTTTTCTGTAGTATTTTTATCCTTAAATATATTTTATATAAAGTTTTTTGAAAACTTTTTCTTTTGGATAATTGGCAACTCTGACATTTTCAGAAAAGAGAACTAACTAAGTATGTAGGTTCTCTGGCTGTCAAGTATCCTATTATACTTTTTTGGAAAAAAAATTAAATGCAAAATTTAGTTCACTCTAATATTTCACCATAAATGACGTCTAAGCCAAAACTAGTAACTAGAAAAATAACAGTTTTTCTCAAAGCGCCGCATGGGGCTTGAATTTTTACTGATGTGTCTAGGATCCACACATATATATGCCGGTATGTATGTACAATATGTAAACTCGTTACATTCCGTACATTTGAAACGACTACAAATGTATCGGCATCAGTTATTTGTATTTTTTTTTTTTTGGCAAAATGTTTTTAAATTTTTTGAGCTGAAACTGACTGCTCTTCAAATATTGTATGATTGTTAAAAATTTGTTGTAATATTTACAGGTGAAGACAGGTGACACCTGTTATATAACACTGAGTTGGCGCTTGAGAAAATGTTATTTTAAGAAATTCGTCAATAATTTTCTTAAAGAATAGAAAATAACATTGAGAATAATGTCTGGAAGTAGTCTTAATTTTTTTGGCGTGAGTGTCATTCCTTCCTTTTTTGCCCATTTGAGGCTATCACTAAATTATCTATTTATTGTCTTAAACAGTGTATATCAGGAGTTATGGAAACAGTACACTCTCAAATTTTTATTGGATTTTTCTCCAGAGCCAACATTTGTTTCAACGTTATTTTAAATAATCATTAAAATTTTCGTTGTTGCATCATATCATTCATTTCACAGTCGTTCCAGCAATTTAGCAACATTTCCGCTTTTGACTACGCCGGCATCACAACATCAACAGTGTAATCGGTATGTCCAACATGAGCCTAGGAGGTGTAACGGCTTATTGATCGCTACTATTTACCTGTCAGTCGGTCAAGCCATTGTAATGTGTGTTTGTGTGTCAATCAGTCTAACAGTCAGCTGATGTGGCTGTCAAGAGTGGCAGCTGTCTTATGCATACCTACAGCACATGAAGAGGGGTGACTTCCTGATGAATCAAGCCTTATTTCGCATGTGTTCAAATAATTACAGCACTCATGCCGCTAGTGTGCGTGTTGTATGCCGGCACACATCATGTTTTCTGTTTTGACGAATATTTTTCAATTTAATAGATATATTTTTATTTAGTTTAATTTTGGCTGAAATAATTTAAATTTGGAGAAGTAAAATAATAGCAGTTGGGAGCCTGAGCTAAAATAAATGCAACTTCCGCATTAAAACTAAAGATAAACACGAAATATGTTTGTATTTCATGTTATACATTATACACTGAAAAGGGTTTATTAAGTTTGCCACGAAGTTCGTAACACTCTGAATGAAACGTCGGGGCACTTTTAAAGTACGAGTATATACTCGTTGATGATCAGCGCGATGAGCTGAGTTGATTTGCCCATGTCCGTCTATATTTTATCCGGAATAGCTGTCATACAAAAAGAACGATCAGAATCAAGTTCTTGTAAGGAATCTTTTGTATTTGCAAAGGGTATTAAAGCATCGGTGCAACCAAAGCTAACGTTTTTCTTGTTTTATATATGTGTATATATTTTTTTTCTTTAATTTTTGTTTACTTCTTTCGTTTTTGCCGCGTATTTGGAATGTAAAGAAATTAATTAACGCATTTCCCAGCTCAAAATAACTTTTTCGGATTTTTGCTAAGCCAGCAGCTGCTTGCATTCATTCTTTATTAGCTTTATGCGCTCCATTTGTGTTGCTATTTTTGTTTTTGTTATTACTGTTATTTTATTCAACTAATGCACCATTTAAGTTTTGCTTTATTTGACTTGGCTTGGCGTAGCTTGGCTTTGGTTTTTGGCAACACTTTTTACTTGCACAGCTTTTATTCGGCGCTGCTTTTCCGCTTGGTCTCGCCCGACTCGTTATATCGGCTTTGATTCTCCACACAACCATAATTATATATACGTTGCCTTTAAATTTGCGGACACTGACAGCGGCGCGCGCTCGCTACTCATTGCAAGCTCATTAACAACGCCGCCGCCATAGTGAAGCTAAGGAGCCAAGTGGCTAACCAGGCAATCTTCTAGTTGCCCAGCTGCCGAGTTTTGTTTAATTGTAATGATAAATAAAATTTACATAAATATGGCCTCTTAATTGAATGAATATATTTTGAATGCATTAATTGGACGTTCGTTCGCATTTGGCTGCGCATTCGCATTTCAGCTATCTTTATTACTTTGTAATGCTGAGTGCGCTTGGCCGACTCGTGTACTCGTCGTTCGGCGGTGAGAGGAGATATGGGCTTCATTGTGGAAATATTGACGCACTTTGATAGCCATAGTTACATAAAATGCTCCTTTTATGCCACTTTCTATGGTTACTTGTGGCACATTTCGTATATCCGCTTTAAATATGGTAAACAAAGCGTAGAATTGAAAGGAATTGAAAGGAAGAAGAGAACAAGACGTTTGCTTTAATTTAAATTGGTATTTGATATTTTAATTAAATATTTTTGTACTTAAATAAGAAAAAGTATTATTACTACTGCCTTTTTAAATCAAAGATTATCATTCTAACGAGCACCATATATGTGGTTTTAATTCCGATAACTCAGCCTACATTCCGGGAAGCATATCAATTAAACAGATACATATATTGATTGTACTCTTAAATCTTGATGTCTACGAGAAATATTAAAAATTCTGATCTTATTATAAATATACCCACAGTTCTATATGAAAAAATAGCCTCGGTTTCATACAGCTAAGAAATCAACTAAAGAAGAATAATAACACGAACACACAGAAGTTTTGATGCCTTCTAGAATTATATGAAAAATGGATTCAGGCATAGTATTTGAATAATACAGCTAACATATGATCTCTCAGTTAAATGTGTGCCGTATATACTTGTAATACTATCATCAACAAATCATACTGTCCAGTAAAAGAATCTTGATTTCGACCAGCCAATAAATCAACTAAACCATGTCGATAATACACTCACTAATCGAATCCACATATAACATATGAGCACTTATCTTAGCATTTTGCTTATCTTAGCCTTTTTATTTATTTTTATTAACTATTGAGAAGTCGACAAACTTGGGCCTCAAAAGGTTCTCATTACTCATGGTTAATCTGCGGTCTCTTTCGATACCACAACAAACTTGTATAGAGTCCATTGTTACTTATTAATCCAAATTTTAAATTGAGCGTTGTCAAACCAGCGACAACAAGACCGATTAGGTGTTACTCAAATTATTGTTCACCTTACCGAAACGTTGACTAAAAAAATAGTTTTAAATCCCTCAATAAGATAGAGTCTTGGGCTTGTTGAGAGAACAAGAGCAATAAAAACTTATTGCCCAGGATTCAATGAATATATTTTTGATCTATATTGAAATGTCGACGCTTTACGACAAACTCATATAAACCAAGCCAAAGAGATTGATTCAAAAGGTTGTATAATACTTTTTCTGCATAAAAAAGACTAAGTCGAGAAGAATTGAAGTTCACTCGACGTTTAGAATCCCGATAAATTAGGATAAGAGATAAATTTATGGTATTATTAATTTTATAAAGTTTTACTGAATATATTTTTGATTAAAGAATATATGATATTACTCGTTTAACATTTGATAGCCCTATATACTGTGTCTAACTAGAGAAGAATTAGACAACAAACCATTTATACCCACGACCATCGAGTCTATGTTAATTCGCCCTAGAACTATAACCTCGTTAATGTTTTATGTCGTAAAAAAAAAAACCAAAAACAACTAAAGCAGCGAAAATCCATAATTTGGCTGTATATCCAATATTTTCGGGTTGGGCGATTCGACTTCGCTTTGGGTCATAAATCCGTAGGTATGAGTTTTAATTCGTCAGCCTTTTGAAGTAGCGCACCTGTTATGATCTGGAGCTTAATTTCAATATCCGAAGCCTTGGGCCGATTAGCTTTTTTCTTGGCTTTTTCTCACCACAAAGTTTTTAGATTTTTTTTTTTAACTTCCTAGCGCGGTTGGCCTTAATTTCGAAATGATTATACTGAAGGTATTAGGTAAGTAAAATATATTTGCTTAACTCTTGTGCCAATAAGCTAATATTTATTAATTAATAATACATTTTTGTTTTAAATATCATCTTAGTTTTTGCATTTACCTAGTACGGATTATTACAGCAACAGTTCTTGATTAGCGAGTGTTCATAACAGGATTTAGCATATAACAGTGAGCAGTCAGTATAGAAACATTGTGGAGGGCGGAGCTGAACCACTGAAATGAACAGTAAAATTGAATTATTTTCATTTCAATTTAATGTTTTCATTTTATAAAAGTTGCCTAGCGCTGCAAATGTAGAAAAATTTAATGCGATGTGAATATATTCTAATTACCTGGAAAATCACAGCAACAGTCGTCATGCAACATTTTCTGCGAACAATAGCTGTAAACAGAAGAATCGCAGAGTGGACAGCCGGCAAAACTGTTGAAACCGCCACCGGCGCCAAACCCGCCACCACCGCCTGAGGGGCCGCCAAATTGTGGTGGATATTGCCGGGAAAGCGCATCGCTTGCAGCTTTGACTGTGGCGGTTTGATTTGTCTGCGTTGTATTCGCTGCCTTTAGTTCTTTATTTCAAGGTAGAAAGAAGAAGACAATTTAACAAAAAGCGAAAAAATAATTACGTTTGTATGTATGTAATACCCAATAGTTCATTCTTGTTCTGCTCCAGCAGCTCGGTTGCTTCGCTGGCTAAAAATAGCGGTAGCAGCAACAACGTAACCAGCTGATTTGCCTTCATAACTTGCAATAATATTGCAAATTTTGTATGTGTGCGTGTGCAATTATTGTTGGGTTGGTGTTTTCTGCCTACACCCTCTCCGTCTTCCCTTGCTGCTGATTTACGTGTGTCACCCCGTTGCTCGTTTAAGCCGGTTCGAATGTTGTGGTTGCGTTGCGTGTTTTGATGTCTGCGCGCTGCTAAGCCGAAATTACGTCTGTCGCAACACTTATTGCCGGTTTGTAAAAATTCAAAAACTTACAAAACTTAAGCATCTGGGAACTTTCTTCACACTTTTACTTGCGCTCTCATTTCGTGGTGGCTCGTTAAACCGGCTGCGCCCAACTGCGCTTCACACAGTTTTCGTCGCCTTCTAAACTGGTCCATTACGGTTAGCGGGGTTATTTTATCGGCTGCCGGTTCTGATTTTTTCCCAACTATAATCTTCACTTTTTATTTTGTTTTCATCACATTTTTATTATTTATTTTTGGCAACTTTATTGCCTAGCTTATTGATCGCTTTCTTTGTCTGCTGTTCAACATTTATTTGTTATTTTAATTTTATTATGCGCACGCATGCGCACACGCACGCATTCACACTTAAGCGCTGGCTACGTTCACTGCATGACAGCATCGCGTCTTTAGGCACCAAAATATTATATTATATATATGTGTACACACACTCACATTTTTTTCTCATGGGTCGATCTTTTCCCCACTTTACTGAAAACGAAAGTAAGTCTGTCGGGTAACAGCGACTTCCACTTAAATGAACAAGCATTTTTCAAGTGCCTGTCATTTGGCTTGTCTATGACTTGAAGTAGCCACTGTAGAAATTTGAAATAATTGTTGTTATTTAAATGTCGCGTAGGCGTCTATTTGCTATTTCTTTTCACCTTTTCGTCTATCAAATAGTGCTTACGAATTTCGCTTTATTAGTCATAAAATCATTAATTTTCGGTAGCGTTTCTTTCTTTATTTTCCCCTAATTTGATGTTTCGGCTTCTGCTTTCCACTGTCTCAAGAGTCGACCGCCCCGCGAATTATAGACAAGAGAAAAATGCTTTGCTAAAGCCTATACGAGTGTTCTACATTTACTCTTCTTTTTTCTTGACTCTGGTCAGTGCGTCGGAAGAACACTAATGGCGATTGGTGCGGGTGGCAGTGGTCCGATTACGCCCATCCACGAACTCGTCCTCACTGTTTTGCCAAACAAAACGTGTACACGGTTTAATAGGATTAATTTTATTGACGGACGAATGAACGGGCAGACAGGCATCTGGGTTTCAACTGGTCTCGTTATCCTGATCATTTACATATATATACATACTTAACTCCGTATCTAACCCGATTATTTTTAGGTGACAGGAATATCCGTTAGGTGAACAAAACCAATATACCCTCTAGCCACATGTTGAAAAAGTGCAAAAATGTTAAACAATCGATAAAGTATTTTTTTAATTTCCAAAAATCGCCTTTTACAAAAGGTGTGCCTCCTAAAAACGTTACATCTATTCCAGTAATAATGCATAAATAGTAATTTTGCTCATAAAAATATACAAGAGGATATAAAAAAAATCGTTGAGATATCTTGTCCTTAATTACGGTAAATAAATCTTCCCGCTCTAAAACCTAAAGTTTCACTGAATTAAGTAGATTATTATCAGCTGAAAGGCTTTAGCGTTTGCACTAGGACATCCAGACTAAATATAATTAAATTTTCTTCTTCATTTGCAAAGAGATTATTTAGAAAAGATGGTAAAGAGATACAGGTGGGTTGATCTTACCAAGAAATAGCACTACTAGCTTAAACTTTTTTTCTCAAGTTGGTCTGTCGGGAAAACACATGCAAAGTTACAAGTTATTCTGTCAATTAATTCTTTGTTTGCAAGCCATTTGAAGTTGACGTGTCAGAGTATTTTTTTAATATGGAATATGGAGATTAATATCGCGCGGTGATTAGATTCTTTGTTTTGAAATGTTTAAAAGCAAAGGAAACTTATGAAAAATTGTTAGAAGTGTATTAGGAGTCCTCTCATTCAAAACGCACCGTTGAATTTTGAGCTGGTGAATTTAAAAGTGGTCGCACCAGGCTTGAAGGCGTTCCATGCAAAGGACGACCAACAATGCAAGCGTAAAATTGCGAATGCCATAGGCATCTCAAAGAAATGAGTACTTCATATTTTACATGGAGAATTACATACGAAAAAGCTGTTTGGAAAGTAAGTGTCGCACACGTTAACAATTCAACAAATACTGGATCGAAAACATAATTTGGAGCGTTTTAAGCAGAATAAAATCGATTTCTTGCGTCGTTTTATATCTATAGATGAGACTTGGATCCATCACGATAATCCTAAATTGACACAAGAACGTTTACAGTAAACTGAAGCTGGTTGTTCAGCTCCAAAGCAGGTGAAGTCACAAAGATCAGCAAAGAAGGTTATGACATCAGTTTCTTGGGATGCAAAAGGAATTTTGTTGATTGATTAGTAGTACTTAGCTGAAAGGCAAAAAATCAACTCTGGATCAGCTGGATGAAAAAATTCGTGAGAAAAGACCTGGTTTGCAGCACAAAAAAAAAATTTTTCATCAATACAACGCACTTGCTCAGGTGTTTTAACAATGACAAAATACAACAAATTAAAGTACGAATTGCTTGACCATGCAACGTATTCACCAGATTTGTCTCCCAGCGACTACTACCACTTCAGAAATCTGAAACGTGGAAAGCGTTTTTCGTCGAATGAAGAAGCTATTAGAACCGTAGGCGGGTATTTTGCAAAGCTTCCGGAAATTCATTATAGGGATGGCATAAAATTATTAGGGGATCCTTGAAATTAGTGTATTGAAGTTAACAGAGATTATATTGAAAAAAAAAAATATATATCGTACCAAAAAAAGTATTTTCTTAATTTCGAGCGCAGAAAATTTTTATTACATATATATATGTATATTTGTTTAAAAAGCTTGGTCTAGGAAGTAAGTATATAAACAAGTATTCACTAAAATGTATTTGCCCTACATGAGTAGCATGGATTTCTATCAAGCCTATAGTATGCCTAACAAGAACTTTGATGTTATAACACTTCGGTTACGTATAATTGTGAAAAACTTAAATAAAATAAATAACCTAGGAATGGTTCACAGAATTTTTCTAACTCTTTCGTTATTATAATTGTTACTATTTCCAAAAATAAAAACATAAATTTCAAGCTTGATGTTACCACAAATCCTACAAAATACCTTAAATAGAACATTCAAATTAACACCTAATTTCCGATAAACTAAACTTTAGATTACCTCGTAATTTGTACTTTTTAAATACCTTTCTTATTTATTTAGTAATCCACTGATATGATTCAAAGTGACGTTATTATCTTTACTTCCATTTAATCTTCTTTCAAGTATGTAAACCTTAACAATTATTTCAAAAATAATTTTTAATTCAATTAGGAAACTAATATTTATGTTATATATTTTGCTGCCACTGAAGTTGCTCAATGGAAGTAAACAAATTTCAACAATATTTATTACGTAAGAAAAAATTGTAATATTAGCCCTGGGCTACTCTTGTTCCATTTCTTTTGTGAACTTTTAGTTTAAGTACATGTCTTTCAATGAGTGCATAAATAATATCGACTATAGATATACATATGTAGGAAGTATGTATGGGAGCAAATAGTAGTTGAATAATTTGAAATTGCCTGAAGTTATTTGTTAGACACTTGTGTATATTGTGCCATAGTCTCCTTTGCGCACAAAAATTTCGTAATTGTAGTAATTTTTACAGTTATTAACATTAGCGAAAGTGTAAACACTGGGGACTATTTACTGTACAAGTGCAGGGGGATTTTTTCGAAAAAAATAATAACAAGTAAGGAAGGGCTAAGTTCGGATGTAACCGAACATTTTATACTTTCGCTTGCTTGATTTGCATACTGGAAAGTAAAAAAAAATCAGATGGAATTTAAAATGATGTCATATGGGAAATAGGCGTAGTTGTAATCCGATTTCGCGCATTTTTGCACTGTAATATACAACAATAATATATATAGAAATGTGAAAAAAGTTATGTACCGAATTTGGTTGAAATCGGATAAGCAGATCCCAAGATATGGGTTTTCACCTAAAAGTGGGCGGTGCCACACCCACTATCTAATTTTGAACGTGGTTCCTATAAAACCATCTTATACCATCCCAGAGTTAAAATTAAATGCCTCTGGCGTGTTTAGCCTTGATTTTCGCGCTTTTAGTAGTTTTCAACAGTACCGTTATATAGGGAGTGGGCGGGGTTGTCACTCGATTTCACCCATTTTCACATTGTAGATATAGGTGCTTAAAGCATTTACTTCTAGTGAATTTTGTTGTTATAGCTTTAGCGGTTTATGAGATATGCACATTAAACCCATTAAAGGGCGGGACCACCCCCACTTTTAAATTTAACGGCAGATGCCACTCCCTAATGTGATCCTGTGTACCAAATAACAGTCTTGTAACTTATTGTGGAACTTAGTTATGGAAATTTATTTGTTTTTGATTAATGGCGTTTTGTGGGCGTGGCAGTAGTCCGATTACGCCCATCTGCTCTGTGGCAACAAGTTGCGAGAGTATAAAAATTAGTAATCAGAAGTAACATTGACAACTTCGAACTGCATTTCGATTTGTAAACGCTTTCTCAAGTCCTCAAAACATTTCCGAAACGCTCTCGGTCGCAAATGCATCATATGTGGGAACATACGAAATAAGCTTTTACCATTGGTACGGCAGTAGAATGTGTAAAACTGGGTAATAGATAACATGAGCACAGTTCAATTTCACTATAAGAATAATACTCGTATATCAGGCTTACGCAGAGACAAGATTAAATATAGGAAAACAGGCGTGGCATGACTATTTTTAAGAGTCATTTTATATCTGAAAATCTAATCTTAATGTTAATGCTCAAAAATTGGCGGAACCGGGCGATCTCCCTATAGTAACATTTTGAATTCCAACAGATGGCTTTACAGATAAATAAGCATTATTGTATATAACGAAATAAAACATAATGACTGATATGTGGCATCTCTCAGCGAAGAATAGTTGAATTTTGTCTATAGCTATTCCTGCCCCATTTGCCGAACTTGTTGATGACGATGCTTCCGTTGACTTTTTGTAGAATAAATCAAGAAATATGTGAAGTATGTAATTTAATAAATTGAAGTAAATATATGGTATTTTTTGAATAATCTCTAGTAGCAGTTTTTTCACATCATACGTCCTATGGAATTTTTTTCCATATCAATCGGTTAGCAAATGTCAACGTTATTCAATGTTTACCAACCGACGTTAACGCTTGTGCACCCTGTATACTCACATATACTTTGGAATCGCTTTTCTACGTTGAGCCATATTTTTTATTTCATTAAGCTTTTTTTAATTGTATTTCACTTAGTTTGATATTACCCTTCAATAGTTAATTTTTCTTTGTTGTTAACTCTATTGCTTGCCACATTTTCAGCTTTTTATTTACTGTTTCGCTTACACTTTACATTGTTCGTAAGTGTTTTCATAAAGTAATTATCTTGCGTTGTATAATATTTTGGTTGGTTGTGCATTGCATTTGAATAGAGCACGTAAGTAAGCGTCCAACAGCCGTGATCGTCTAGTGGTTAGGACCCTACGTTGTGGCCGTAGTAACCCAGGTTCGAATCCTGGTCACGGCAATGTATCATTCTGTGGTATATGGAGCATTGCATTAGTTT